TGATGCAGGAAAGATGCTGGATGCGTGAGAGCCTGACCTTGCAGGAGGTGGGAGTGGGAAGCATTTTGGTCCTGGCCCCGGAGGACCAGGCAGATGCCCGCGGACATTTCTCTGGCTTCCCCGACGGCGCCACCTGCTGGTCATCTCTGCCATCGCATCCAAGTGTCCAGCGAGGACGCATGCGTGGATACCATGGTCCTCCTTGCTTTGCCTTGCCTTGCCTGCATCCCTGATGCTTTAAAATTCGGAAGAAAGTTGAGCCAATAAAACAAAATGTGAATTATGATACTTTGATCACTTGAAACCCCCTTCTCGGACACTCCAGTCACTGGGCTTCCCCTTTCTAACACCATGCTTGTTATTATGAGTCTATCTGCCCCGTTAGGATGTGAGGCTCCTGGGGGCACACCTGCATGCCCCTGGGGGTACCTCAGCTGGTGCCCAGCAGGAGGAGAAGCTCAGCAACTGTGGGTGCTGCCTTTCAGGGCCCTGAGCACCGGTATGGGGCTGTCGCTGCCCCTCCCACCAGCTCTGAGACCCCATGTGTGTCCCCACAAATCCTGACAGGCAGGCACGGGGCCCCCAGGTCACAGAGGAGGAGGGTCTTGGAGAAGTCAGCTACTTGGCCCCGGTGACAGGTAGAGGACCCAGGTGTGAATCCAAGGCCACCTATCTCCTGTGTCAGGGCTCTGCACCTGGCTGGCTGCCTCCTGAAGCCTCCCAGTGAGTTGCAAGGGCTATTGTGGGCAATGAAATACCCCGGGGGATTGCTCTGAGGTCACAGTCACTGAATAGTCCGGCTGTTCCCTGACCCATAAGCCCAGCTTCTCCTGACCCTGTCTGTGAGAGCAGCCCCAGCAGCCCCAGGAGCCTAAACACTTACAGTATCCACTGATAACTTCTCCAGGCTTTGCTGAAAACAAGTAAAGCTTTTCACCAAGGCAGGAGCAGCAAGAGAGCCTGACCTCAGAAGACAGCTGTACACTCAGCTTTCTCCCGAAGCCATGCCGTTGACTGTCTGGATTCCTGCTCAGTTCACTGGTCATCATGCACCCTTACTTCACGCTAGGTGTGGGAGCGGCATCATTTCCTGCCTGTGGCAGCTTCCCAAAGGCAGGGATGGGGTTTTAGTCCCTGAGCATCTCCAGTACCCGGTGTATCTGTGTGGAATGCAAAGGCTGGAGCCAGCTTTCAAGTGGTTTGGGTCCAGCCACTCCACGCCCCCACCTTGACCGCACTGAAGTTCTTTTAAGGGGACAGCTGGTCTCCCTGGTCAGAACAGAAATCCCTTGAAGGCAGCATCTCTGTCTAATCTTGTTGATTAAAGAAGGCCTCCTTCCATGGTCTGTGTCCAAAAGATACTCAGTAAATATTTGTTGAATGAATAAACAAACAAATCTCTATTACTGGCTCCTGGTTGCACTAAAATCAGCATTTCTTTAAAAATTCATGAGTGTCATAATGTTTCCCAGTGTGAGAGCAAAGCATTTTATGAATTTTCTATTAAAGAGAAGAGTATCTATTTATTAATATTCCCAAAGGGTAGCTTTTTTGGTTTACTGCTGTGTTGCTGTTATAATTTTCCATAATTATACGGTGTTGATTGTAGTTTACTGATAGAGCATCAATAAAGAAAAATGTAACCCTGGAACTAGATTACTTAAAGTGTTTAGCCTTACCAGATGGAAACTAATCATTTAGCTGGCTGAAAGGTGGCAAAGAGAATATTCTCCCCCAGAACTGTAAGGAGAGGGAACGTGGAGTTGCTCTGCAGGTCTGAATTTGTGTGGTCAAAATAGCAGGTAGGGGCTCTGTTAGAAAAGGTGTTGGAATAATTTAGGAATGGAAGGAAGTCTTACTTCTGAGTGTCCCTGGAGGTTGGTGGTAGAAGGATTTGGATAGAAGTCAACATTACGAGGTGCAGCCTGTTGAGAGAAGCAGTCCTGTAAAGAGTCCCACAGTTGACTGAGGAGGTGTGTGCAGGGAGGTCATTGAGGGCAGGGCTATGTTTAGCTTGTTGACCATTGTCCAGCAAGTGCAGGCAAATCGCTGAATGAATGGGTCTAGCTATGGTGGACTTCATTCACTGAGACCCCAGTGGGAACCTGCTTCAGCCATCCTCTAGCTGTGTGACTTGGGCCAAATTGCTTTTACTCAATGGTTGTGGTCATTGATGATCTAGGAGAAGGATTTTAATTACTCCTTTCCAGATTGGCAGAGCGTAGGATGAGGGGCTGAGAAATTGGTCACTGCATCATGTACGTGGCACCCAGGAGGAGGCCCTGGGATACCCGTTTGCAACATTATCCCGTGAGCATTCAGCCTGAGGGTGTCAGGAGCCCTTGCACCTCACATGTTGCCTGGGAAACGTGAGCCGTGCCACCCAGGGCAGGCATAAAGTGGCCCCGGCTTTCAGAGGGGACCCTGGCCCCCATGTCCCCTCCAGGCACAAATGGGACTGTATATCCTCATGGTTGGGGTGTCCAAGGAGGTTCTGAAGCAGCTTCTTTGAGTTATAAAATGTAGAGAGTTCTTTTCTTAGTTGCAGTTTGTGGGCAAATTTTCTTCCACATAACCAGAGGTGTGGTTATAAATAATTCATGCTCATTGTTTGGCCCAATTAACATTCTTCAGAAGATGGGGGCAGTTCTTTGAAGTTGGTTCTTCTTGAGGGACAGCAACACACCCTGTTGGGTTGGGCCAAGCTTCTGCCCTAATTAGATATTTACACAAGAGACCGGAGCGATGAGGGTGGATTCATTTTTAATAAAAGAAGATTAAAAACTGTGTATGTACAGCATATTAAGGAAAAGCGAACCAAATTAAAGTCCTCCCACAACTGCGGACAGTGGTGGCCTGAGAAGGGAGATTTCACTTGGAATTAGTAAAATTTCTTGCTTTGAGACAAGAAGACATTCAGGCCTCCCCCCACCCTTCCCTCTGCCCTCCCCCCACCGCTTGTCAGCATCCTCCGGTGGAGTCCTGAGTGAGGGTTGCAGTATTGGGCAACCACTGGAAATCTGGAGATGGGGGCCATGTGCCCATGTGTGGGGTGGCAGCCACAGGCTGTGTGAAGGAGTCAGGTGGGGGTGACCTGGCGGGGACTGGGGCCGAGTGGGGGCCACATGGCACTCTGCAGATCCAGGCTCATATTGAGGACCAACCCCTGCAACCACACACAAAAGCAGACCAGACCTGGTTTTCCCAAGAGAAGCCAGATCTCCAGCCTTTATGTGGACTCTCCTCTTTTTAAATATTTCAGACTAATTTAAAAGTGTTTAAACCACAAGCATACACCCACTCCTTGAACTCAGCAATTCCACTTATAGATAACAAGCCCCAAATGTATGAGAAGTGTTCGTCCACAAAAAGACTTGTAATCAAGTTCATAGCAGCTTTGTTCATAACGGCAAAAAAATGGGGAACAACCCAAATGTGTATCCAGGGGAGACTGGGTAAGCCACCTGTGGCAGTCATACATGGAAAATTCTTCCCAGTAGAAAGGAAGAGATACAGGCACATACATCAGTCTCCAACACCTGCTGAAGCAAAGAAGCCAGACACAAAACCATACGTGCTGTATGGTTCCATTTATGGGAAGTTCAAGAACAGGCAAAGCTAATCATCTCTGGAGATGGAGATCAGAACAGTGCCCACCTCTCGGGGTCGGCGGAAGAGTAGGCTGATATTACAGCCTGGATGGCAGGGGGCATACGTTTGTCTGAACTCATCAAACCATGGGCTTCAAGTGTGTGCATGGACTGTATGTGGGTAGACCTTTTAAAAAAGGAAAAACTTCTGAAACACATCACAGGCCAAACGCAGGCTGTCTGTGGGTTGCCTTGGGTCCGCAGGCTCTGATCTGCGATTTCTGTGCTACGGTGAACTTTCACCCTTAGATCTGCAGCCCCGGGACCCTCCGTTTGCAGGTGGAGAAACACATCCCTCCCTAATAGCTGTCTGTGTGGTGTGGCTAGGAGCAGTTGTGCAAAAGCAGGAAGGTCCCCATCCCACCAAATCGCTGCCCACCCAGTGGTCCCTGCAATGACACTGGTTTGAATTTATTGCTGTGACTTGGTCTTTTAGAGGAATGTGCTCACCTGGTTCAGACCAAACCTTCCTGTCTTCCTGACTGGAAGATCCGTTGCTGGAAAGGTGCCTGTGCCGGCCAGGTTCTCAGGGGGATGGGGAAGAAGGGCATAATGCCCCCATCTCTGTCGTGGACCCAACGGCCAGGCATTTTGTGAGGTCCTTCCTTTTCCTTCTTTACTCTGGAATTGTTTAGCAAGTGGGGGCAGAGGATGATGTACATCTGAAAAATGGAAGGCAGACACATTCGTGCACATGGATTGAGCACCTGCTGTATGCCCACCAGACGGCTGAGCCAAGGGAGCTCAGATGCAGGGGGAGACAGACAAGTCAGTCAGCCAGGCTGCATGGTGGTGAGGAAGTGGCATGGGTACCGAGCACCCAGATCACCCGGGGGCACAGATTCCTGGAGAGTATGGCCTGGGTCCCAGAGATGAAGGCTGGAGAGGAGTTTGCCCAGCAGAGTCAGTGGGGAGGGGCGCTGGAAACACTGAGAGCTGGGAACTGCAGAATACAGGAGGTGAGAAGCCTGGCATGCTTTTGCTGGGGAGGGGGCACCAGGCACAGGGTTGGGGGTGGGGGGCTGCTGCCCCAGCTGGCCCACCGAGGAGTCTGGGCTCAACCCTCCAGGCAGCAGAAGCCACTGAAGAGGAAGATGTGGTGAAATCCACCCTTTTTGAAAATCACTCTAAAAGCTCTACGGGGTGGCCGAGGGGACAGTCTGGGGATCAAGGCACAGGAGGGGTCTGCCCTTCATTTCCCCTGGGACACTTGAAGCCAGGTCACTACACCAGGCAGGGCCACAGGGTCCCACATGCAGATCCGGCACAAAACCTAGTGGGCTTCTCATGCCCACCACATGGCTCGTTAAGACACCTGGTGTCTGCCCTTCATATTCACCCCCCACTCCAGGTTGAGAGTGGGCTCTAGAAATTTCCAGAGAGCAAAGCACAGTAGTATATTCCAGAGGTAACCAGAGCTTTGGGGTGGGGAACATGCGAGTGACTTCCTGGATCCGTCCTGCCCCCTCTGTAAATGCAGATCCAGTGCTGCTGGACTCTAGCTGGAGGGGAAGCTCTGATCCAGCCCAGCTCTTGGGGTCGCTTGCTCTTCCGGGGGCTGCCAGGCATGAAATAGGAGGACCAGTGTGCACAGTGGTCCCCAGCTCTAAGCCACACTGTCACCATTGTCTCCTAGCTCCATGCCATTCTTGCTCTCTTGGATTTCCCATCTCGAGGTCCAGTCAGAATAGGTCTCAGTGACCCAGCCAGGATCTGCATTCGGGTGGTCTCAGCGATGCACGCGTGTCTTCTGTTCCTGGAAGCTGAGCGGGACCAGAGGCCAAGTAGGCGAGCTTCTTGATGAGAGACGGGAGGAGAGGCGCCTCCCCGCAGCCTCCTGCTCTTCTGTGGTTGGGACCCTCGCCCCTCCGGGGTTAAGCCTCAAGCTACCCCTGCCCAGTGCCCCCGACCAGCCCTCCTGGCATCTGCTCCCCCTGCAGACGACTGAAGTCAGAAAACAGGACAGCTGGGAAGTGGGGGCCTCCCAGCCGTGGGGGTGTCCTGCCCCTGGGCTGCCCCGTCCTCCAGTCCACCTGGATCCTCCTCTAATGTCATGTTCCCTCTGTCCCTGTCTCTCTCACACAAGACACACAGACACACAGAGCATTTTTAGTGGGTTTCTAGAGAATGACTTCTGTCATGTGCACACTGCACCACGGAGACACCACATTAAAACCAGGGGCTCTAACAGGTGTGGCGCTGAGTGCTTCAGCTCAGCTTCTAGGGATCTCCTGGGTCCCCAGGCCCCACCTCCCTCTCCCGCCTCCCAGGCAGGATTGTGCAGTGGTTCAGACAGGGCCTTTGGAATCTGGGAGTGGCTTCGAATCCCAGCTCTCCTACTTACTGGACCTCAGAAGGCCTCCATGCCCATGCTGTTACTGCGGCATTCTGCTGGGCTTCCCATAGCCCTGAAGCTCTGGGGGTGTGGGGGGATGTCAGGACCAGACCTGTTCCAGGTTTTTCTTGTTTCTGCAAGATACCATAATGGCCAGCTATGGGATTTGCCTCAAATAGGTAGATGTGGGGCGCCTGGGTGGCTCAGATGGTTCAGCGTCTGCCTTCGGCTCAGGTCATGATCCCGGGGTCTTGGGATCGAGTCCCGCATCGGGCTCCCTGCTCCTTGGGAGCCTGCTTTTCCCTCTGCTTCTCTCTCTCTCCCTCTCTCTCTCATGAATAAATAAATAAAATCTTAAAAAAAAAAGACTCTAAAAAAATCTTAAAAAAAAAAATAGCTAGATGCGGCACTGAGAGTATTAGCCTGGACATGGGTTTGCCATTCTGTGGCTCTTCAATTGTGTGTCCTGCTTAAGCCCAGTTCGTTCATTCGTTCATTCATTCATTCATCTAATAATTTGTCCACCAAACATTCCTGAGCATCTAACCTGGACCCTGGGGTTGTCCCCCAAACCCCTCCTGGGGTCTCAAACCAAAGCCAGATTGGTGAGTTGAGGTAGGGATTGGAAGGGCTGCCAGGCTGGGTCCTGTAGGGGTGCAGGGTGCACAGCATGCAGTGTGCCTCCTGGGAGGACCCTTGCCCCCTTATATCTGTGCTGGGAGGATGGATGGTCAAGAGGGACAGTCTGCCTTTGCTCAACGCCCCCGTGATGCTCCCTTTGTGAACCCTTGTTACATCCACAAGGAAGCACGAGAGTCCTCTCCGGAGGATCGGGATCCTTCCCTTGCGCTCCCCAAAGGCTTTGCTAAGAGATGGGGGTGGTGCAGCTATGTGGCAAAGGCAACTGTGTGTCTAGGAAGGAGAGAAATTGTGCTCAAAGCAGAGGTAATTGCTGTTTACCAGCAGACCTTCTTACTGAGGGGTCAGAATGTAAGCCGTGTCATGATGTAACCTCAAGACACCGTGAAGCGTGCGATCCTCACGTTGTTCTTGGCTCAAGTTCTTCATCTGGCGCGAATGCAAATCCATTTCTAACTGACTTGGTTTCGCTGATTGATCTCTTGATCCCAAGTTCAAATATATAAGCAGATCACAAATAGAAGCAGTTTTTTCATTAAATTTCTGCTCTTTGGCCCCCCACAACCAGAAATCTACTTAAGGACATTTTAGCACAAAAAACAAAACAGAACAAAAAACAACAACAAAAACGTGCCTAGGGTCACCGTGGCTCAGTATTTAGGTTTTAGAGCATGCAAAACTAGATAAATCTGCATCTGTCCTCTCCTCAATTTATATTTAAAAATGTGTGTGTGTGTGTGTGTGTGTGTGTGTGTGTGTGTGTGTGTGTATCCAAGTAAAATACCTCAAAGCAAACGATTTGGCTTTGCCACAGTAACTAAATGGCCAGTAGCTTCTGCGATCCTGAGGCTGGTTGGCCAACTTCGCTGGGTTGCACCAGCCCTCCCCGTGTCTGCCCAGCTGGTGCCCTGGGTTTCCACTTGCACATGGATGACGTGATGGAGAATAAATAATCACAGCTGCCACTGTCCCTCCTCCATTCTAAGGTTTTAGCATGGGCTTCACTGGGAGTGATGGAATTTAGTGGGAGCCCTGTGGTTGGATAGGAGTGCGTTAGCCAAATTTCAGCCCTGCAAGCGTGGCGTCTTTCTTCACGTGGAGTTGTAGTGAACTCAATGAGAGAGCGTTGTCCCCACAGCCTTGCAGACCCTGCCTCTCCAGTGGCAGAGGGCGTCCATTCGTTCCCCATGTCTTGTGCTGGCCGCCGAGGAGACTGACCTCACTGGGCAACGATGGGGGTCTCTGACATCCTGTGAGCCTCTGCAGTGTGAGCACACCCCTGTGTGATGGAAAGAGGCTCACTAAACTGAGTCAAGCTGAAATTAATGGAAGCTAAAACACCATGATTGGCTGGCGCCTTGTTCTGGAGCAATGTGCGGTCTCAGGATGGTCTCCTGTCCTCAGGCCACCTCCGTCCTTCCCCCGAGGAGTGGGTGCTCAGGAATGCAGGCTGTTCCCAGAATATTAGCACAGTCAGAGCCCTGGTAAGAAGGTAAAGCTACTGCTGTCAGCCTCCCCAAGGATGTGATGCCCTGCAAAGCCAAGTGTGTGCATTCATCCAGTGCTCCATCGCCCACTCCTGTCAGGACCCCCAGGAAGACGGAGCTCTCTTCTTGTTACATTGTGCCCAAGAGTCTTGCCACAACCCGTTATAGGTGCCTGCCAATAGGGAGAGGGGAGGGGTCCACAGGCACCTTTAAAAATGCCCTTGGGGGAGAAAAAGAAACAAAATATTGGAGTTCCTAGTGTCCTACTGGATCTTTCACCATTTGCTTCCAATGAGGCTGCTTTTAGGTGAAGGTTCAGCATCTTTGTTTGACTTTTATGTTGATTCCACATTCCTTTCCCAGGACTTTGATTTCCAGTGTAATCAGCTGCAGTTTTCAGGAATGATTCTAGAATATGCATTTAGGTATCAGTCTCTGATAGAGTGGTGTGCCCAGGCGATTGGCGTGTTTGCTGAGACAAATTAACCCAAGGTTGCAGTGAGATGATCTCACCATGTAGATGGAGGACGTTGGTTTATCATGGCATTGGGGGCTGGCGTGGAGAAGGCAGGGCTTCCCTGGGCAGTGGCAGGTGCTGGGCCCTGGACGTGGGCGAGACCGTGAAGTGGTGTGGGTGAGGGTGGCATTTGCCTGGGACAGCCATGTGAGCAAGGGTCAGGAGATGACAGTTGGGACGGAAAGAAGCCACCATCGCCCAGGGTCCCCCTCCAGTCATACTGCTTTGGCAGGCTGTCGCATCTGAACATCTCTGTTAAAATACTCTGAGTGCCTTTCCCAGGGAGTAAAGATCACCATTCAGATTTGCTACAGATAAATCGAGAGCGCCCTCCATCAGGGCCAAGACCATTTCTGATTGGAAAAGTAACAAGAACTGATAGCGTATTGAGGGCAGGGTCCTTGGTTTCTATTAATTATTGCTTACTTACACCTGTACAGGTTAACTTGCTGTCCTCTGGGCCCTTTTCCCCTTCTGAATTATAGTCTGTTCTCTAATAATAATTTGGTCCCAAACACAACTGTCTTGTCGCTGCTGAGGTGGTAATTTTTAACAAATAAAGAGTTCAGTGAAGTTATTACATTGCATGTGAAATAATCTACAAGCTAACTACATGTGCTGAGAAATTAATTATTGTTAGTTTGTGAAGCTCATGAGCAATTGTGAGACATTGTACATCGTTCACAGTATTTGAGATGACACAGCAAAGCCTTCATCATCCTTGTTGGTTATATGGGAATGCTTTCAGGAATCAAGAGTTACCAAGTAGGGGTTTCCAGGGGTTCCTTCATTTGTTCTTTCAAAATAAGAGGGATGTTTTCTTCAATGGGGAAAATGTATCCATAAAGTCTAGCTATAGTTCATTCCTGTCTTATTTGTCCCCAGCTATGGAAACATGGTAAGTTTCCTCTTCTGTAACCGGTGGGTGAGTGGTCAGTGGGTTTGTTGATGATTAAATGAAGTCAAGAATGTCATTAGGATCAGTGAAAATGTGCCTTTGAGAAGCTTCCTTAGATCTGTGGTTCTGTTGTCTTACTGCAGTGGAGGACTTCATTCTTACAGAATAACATCTTCACTTTTATTCATCTTCAAGAGGGCAAGGCGCATAATTGGAATTATGCAAATTAGTGTGTGGTCCATAGGAGATTGAAATTGAAATGATCCCTTAACGGACTTACTGGCACGCCAGCGTTCTTACCAGTCCTTGCTGGTGGCCCAGGTAGAGTGCTACCCTGTCCTCAGGAGGATCCTTTGCCTGTGCTGATCCAGGGCCCTGCTCAGGAGGGGCGGGCAGGAAGCCCCAAGTGGACCAGTACATCGGAGGTTGTGATTCGCGGGGGCTTTACATTTTTCTTGTGTACGTATGGGGTTGTTTTTCTTTTTAATTCTTTGATGAAATCAGTTTCAACATGTAATCCAGAAATGTGCACAGGGGTGTTTAGCAGTGTGTAATATAATAAAGCACTGAAATGAGCTATAAAGGACCTTTTATTCTTAAACATAAAGGATTTTCTAAATTCTTTGAAGACCAATTGCCACTCTGTTACTATGTCAGCATCAGGGAGGAGGGCCAGTGGAACCCACAGCGAGGATGCTTTGCTTAGCATTCTCTGGCCCTTCCTTTAATGAGCTCCTCCTTTGCTCAGGGAAACCCCTTCTCCAGATTCTGAGCCTCCCATAAAGGAGGTAGGTTCTGCCCCTGCCCAGCTGGGGATGGCATAACAATACATATTTACTGGCCTACTTTGTGGAGGAGTAAACTGAGACCTCATACCTACAGCTACCCACTTCTTTTTGTTTTTCTGTTTTCTAATCTAATAACTTGAGTTTCCAAGAGACTGGTCAAATTTGGGCAGAGGTTGAACTTAGAGTCAGATCGTCCACATTTCATGCTCTCTCTCTTCTAAAAGTTAGCCACTCATTTAACACATCATTCTTGTTCTTGAATGGAGAGACTAAATCACAGGAGTAGGCTCAGGAGTCGGGCAGACATGGGAGTGAAGACAGACCCTCCGGCCCCTGTGCCCCTGTGTCCCTGCAGACCCTGAGGGTTCTGTGTGCTGCTCCCCAGGGTGCCTTCTTGGAGTCCCCAAAGCTGCATGGACACAAGAGATAAGTGACATGCCACCAGGACAAGAAAGAAAGTGAAATTAAATGTGACATGGTCTCCGTTCTGTCCTAAGGAACAAGTTACCCACTTGTTCGGGGGAAAAACAGAAAATTGAGTGGATAAAGATCTATGTCCAATCACAATGTCAAATGCAATTGACCTTGCTAAACGGGATTTCTCTGAAGACTTTTAATTTTAGCTGGAGCAATCCTCAAACCAAGCCTGAGATGTTTGAAACAAAACTCCCATTCTGCTGTGAAAACATCCAGATTCCCCAGGAGCCCCTTCTCCTTGTGAGGGCCTTTGTTTTTTGTTTGTTTTTGTTTTTGTTTTTTGTATCTCCATTTATTTATTTTTATTTTTTTTCTATTATGTTATGTTAGTCACCGTACAGTACTTGGTAACCTGAAACCAGACATAGGGCGTGCTTAAACCCTTTTGTACCTAAAAACAGGCAGTCCTTTTGTCTTCTGGAAATATCCCTGTGTCATTTACCTGGCAAAATATATTTTCAGATGCTATTTCATGAGCTGGTTTTATTTCCCCTAATTAAAAGGAAGAGTAATGAGCTTTGCTGAAGAGTCTTTTTTTTTTTTTTTTTCCTAATGACTTGAGAACTAATGGCCTAAAAATACGAGCCTATCCATTATTCCGGACCATCTAACCTCACCCAGTGTTGGCAGTGAGGTCCCCCTCCTGGGCAGTCCATGAGGGCACTCCCACCTCCCAGACTGGCCTACTCACTCAGAACCACCTGTGGGTCCTCCAGGAGCTTTATTTAATTCTCTGTGGCTTGTCTTAGGGATGCGCTGTGTCTCGGGGATGCGCCGTGTCTCAGGGATGTGCCCTGTCTCGGGGATGCACCAAGAAGTAGGCAAGGTCCCAGGAGGTCCTTCATGAACTCAGAGAAGAAGTCCCAATATACTTCCAGAACCATCTTTTCATACTGCTCACATGGAGGAAAAGCAAAATCAAGAACCCAAAGAGCCCCCCTTAATCTCCTCTGTCTACTTGGCCAACAGCTCTCTTGGGTGAAGGCATTCCATCCAGGCCGGGAGGGCCGAGCCTGCGGTGACCTGAGGAGAAGGAGCTCCCCTGTGCGGGGCTCACGGCAAGGTTGCAGGCAGGCAAGGGCAGCCAGGGAGGGCGGTCTGTTAGGAAAGGGCTGATTCCAGCGCTCTGCTCGGAAGGCCCATTGAGACCTCCTAAGATAGACTGTCTGTGCTTAGTTTATCTCACTACTGCGTTGGGCCCAGTGATTTAAGTATAACGAGATCAGCTCCAGCTTGTGAAAATAATTTCCATCTCCTCATCTCTCTTTTAAGAAACACTGTCGCTTGGTGCTTGCATAGGAAGAGAAGGTGCCAAACAAAAACCAAAAATGCTGTTTTCTGGAAAGTCATTTAAATCCCTGTGCCTGGTTTCCTAACTGAGGAGGGAACTCGATCTGGGCGTTCTCTGAATTGTCCCTGCGTGGGTGTGGCAGCCCCGGATTCTGTGTGGCTGGTACCGGGTGGTCCCAGGGCCTGGGGCTGAGCTAGCTGAGGTTCAGTGGGGGACACACCGTGAGTGAGGAAGTAGAGATGTTCTTGGGGCAAAGATGTGCCACTAAGCTCCTCAGCACCCTCAGCTCCTGCTATATCCTGCTCTGGCTGGCAGCTGCCTGAGGAGCCCCAGGCTGACGTGCAAATCCCGGCCCCCTTCTCCTACAAAGGTCTGTCCCCCCAGGTCTCCCCTGCCCCTGTGGGCTGAGAGCAGTGCCGTCTCCAGGGCCCTGGATGTCCGTTTCCCCTGGACCCGCTGCAGGGAATCTGGGGGCTCCGTGCCTCCCCAGCTCGCCCGGACTCATGGGTAGGCCCCTTCCCCGGGGCATGCTGTGTATTCCCCAGGGACCTCAGCCATCTCTAGACACACCTGGCCTGTGTCTATGGGGGCTTGGGGAATAAGAGTATTTGGAGAGGGAGGCCAAACATTGTGTCCTTGGCTCCTTTCCAACGGTCACCCCACAACCCAATAGTTTGGGTACAACTGCACAATTCTGTGTGCTCAGAATTCAGTCTCCTGAACCCTGAGGGTTCTGTGTGTCCCAGGGAACTCCAACCAGACTCCGCGTATGTGAATAGTGGGTGGTTCTGTGGTCTCAGCCCTGGAGAGCCTGGGATGTGCCTCAGTCCACAAAAGGAGCCAGTGTTCTCTGCCCTGACAGCCTCGGCATGAAGGGCAGGCACGTCACTGTCGCTGACCTCCCTGTCCTCGTCTGTCAAGGCCGAGGTGGCACCTGTCTCTCTGGGTGGCTGACTGTCAGAGGAGGGGGTCAGACGAGGGGACTCTGGAGGGCATCATGGGGGTGTAGGCCCCTGGTAGGTGACAGTCAGCCAGACCAGGGACAGGGACACCACCCAGCGTGTCTTTGTCATTTCTTTCTATGTGGTTTTTTTTTTTTTTTCCCGTTTTCTCTCCTAACAGGTGGACTTCTCTGCCCGTCTCCTTTTAATGATGTTTGGTGGTTTCACATTTAGAGGTTTGCAAATTACCTTTGCTCAAAAGCAATTAAGTTCCAGCGTTCCCCGGCTCAGATAAAAAGCATGGCCTTTGCGTCTTTTTTAACAAGCAGAACCTTCTCCAAAGAGTCAGGATCACTGTGGATGCATCTGGAACATGCTGAGGCTGCAAGTTGGACTGCTTAAGGGGCTTTTATTATTATTATTTAAACCTTTCATCCATGTAAGTGTATTCACACCTGAAGCTCAGAAAAGGTCTAGATTTGTTTCTCCTTTACTGTGAAAACACATCTTGTTCTTTGAGCTTTTATTCTTCCCCAGTGCATAACAAAATAACAGTCTCGCCCCGTGAGGAATGTGGCCCTGATTTTATGGGAAACAGGCACAGCGTACATAGATGCCAGACAGGTGGATAGGCAAGGTCCCCAAGGCCCACGGTGGTCCCTGGTTCCTCGAGGACTTACCGGGAGCCAATGGGATAGAAGGGGGGTGGGGGGCTTAGCTAGGTGCCAGGGAGCAGGACGTACTTGACTTGTGTTTTTAGCCATTATTTCAGAAAACTGGCTCTGTCCTTCCCAGTCTGTTTCTGGAGCCGGCGGCCTGATGAGGCTCACCTACCTGCGTGTGCCTGCCGGGACTGTCTCTTAAGCACGGTCTGTTCTCAGCTGCCGGCTGGGTGGAGGGATCCCCGGTGCCCAGGCTTCACCCCTCGCACACCTGAACCCTGCAGGTGTGTCAAGGAGAAATCTGACCTGTGGGTGCAAAGTAGGACTTGTCTGTCTTCTGGGAACATTTGGGTCCCGTTTGTCATCATCCCAGTTGAAGCGGACTGACTCCCTGTTCTTGAGATTTGTCAGTAAACAAAAGAATTTGGCTCAGTCTTCTGGCCTTCGCTTTGCTTCCTAACCCAAAAGGTGGGGGGAGCGCCTGTGCCTAATTGTGGTCACCCCGGAAAGTGGGAAGTGGGGGCATTGGGGACGGTCTAGTGGCCTTTCCATATCTGCACTCACTTCATTTCTTGGCGCACCGAGGGCCTTGAAGAGTCTATAAAGCAGCCGGTGATCACCGGAAAGGGAGCAATGGTTGGTCTTTCTGTTCTCGCTCACCCTTCGCTGGAAAGGCCTGGAAAAGCTGGAACAGAGAGAGACCCCAGTTGGGACCAGAGATGCCACCCCTGCCAGTTAGGCACACCGGGCTGCTAAGGGGCTGTGCTTTTGGCAGAAACAAAGAGGCCAAGAGGCCAAGAGGCAGGCGTGGTGTGCAGGACTGTGTCAGAGCAGTCAGCAGCCTTGGAGCGGTTCCGACTTACTGGGGAGCTGGGGAGCTTCCCTCTGCTCTGGAGACCAGAAGCAGCGACGATGTGAATCCTTGGATTCCTAAGGAATGCTGAGCTTCACAAGCCTGTCACATACATTATCCTCAGAACCTTCCAGAAAGGAGCAGTGGACATTCTTAGCCACTTTTTCAGGCTCAGCGGTGGAGTGAGGAGCTGTCCCCACCTGCAGCTAGGTGAGGGATCTCATCTCCCTGTGCTTCCCTCCTGTCTCCCTGACATAAGGTAACCTCTCTTCTGGGGTGCACACAGGCAGCCATGCCCGGGGATTTGAGCACCACCTGCCCAGGCTGGGAGTGGTGCACTGTCTTCTTTCTCCAGCTGCCTTGGAAGGTCACTGTGACCCACATTCCCAGGAAGGATTTGGGGGGAGGGCAGGGCACACAATGAGCTCAACTCTGCATCTGCCCCCACATGTGGACCGGGTTCAGAGGACTGCCAGCCACTGCCCGGCTGGAGGAAGCTCACCCCCAGTGCCCAGTGGAAGGGGTGGCCGGTTCTGCTCCTGGGGCCCCGTCTCCCACCACAGCGAAGTGGCCTGCTGGAACACTAGAGCCAGAAAGGCAGGCTTCTGGTACCTTCCTTCATAGAGCAGCAAACCCAGGCCAGGAGTGGGGGTCTGCTCCAGGAAGAAGCCCTCCCCCGGGGGGCCTGGAGACCCTGCTGCCGTCACGTCCGTCCTGCCCACACGTGGACCACCCTCCCTGTGCTCCCTGCCTGCTGCGGCTGCCCGCCTAATGCGCTTCGCACTCCGTTTCCCCTCCGGCAGGCTTCCTTCCCGCCCTCCTCACGACTGCCCCCTGGGCTTCCACTCCTTTTCCCTTTTTGGCCTGAAAGCCCCGCTGTCCTGTGGTTACTTACCCTGCAGCCCTGTTGATGGCAAATTCTCCAGGCAGAAAGAAGACCCTGGCCTGTTCCCTCCATGACTCTTGGGCTCCTCACGCTGAGCCCGGCCAGGGGCTGTGTGATGGCTGATTCGAATGGTCGCGGGATGCCCATACCGAAGCCACCTGCTGACTTGGTGTCTGAGCCAGAGAGAGCAGCCCTGAGGATACCTGGGACCCACTTCAGCTGCTGGTTCTTGGAGACTTACTCAGGGGCAGAACTGTGTGGTTCCCCAAGTGCTATCTTCCTAGTACACGGTGGGGCCATGGTACCTGGGCCGTCACTGTCCGCCATCATTGAGCACCTGGTGTGAGCCAAGCCCAGTGTGGGCACCCACACCAAAGTCAAGACGTCGCTGGGCCCATGGGGTGTCCGGAAGCAGGTGGCACAACTGTCCTGCTCAGCGTGAGCGCTGACCACCCTACGTCACTGTCCCTGACCACAGTCCCTGGAGATGAGATGGACATCGACGCCCCCCCCCCCCAGGGGAGATGCCCAGAGCCGCCGGGTGTACTTCCCTCTGGGGGGAGTACTACTTAAGGCCTGTGTGTCTCCTTTCTGGAAAATGCCAGATCCCGACAGAAGCTCTAGTCTATTTCTGAATACAGAAAACTGTGTTGAATCACACACATGTTCCAGTGGAATCACGAGCTGTTTCAACAGAGGACGAGGAAGAGACCATGTGTGTCCGGTTGGGGCTGTGTTTGGATTCTGAGCATGGGCTCCTCTGAGGTCCCTCCAACGTGGGGGCTGGGGCTTTCGGGGTTGCTGGCCTTCAGCCACCTGCACTCCTTGGTGGCCCCAGGGCATCTGCCCAGCCACAAGATCTGTCACAGCTGTTTCTGAAACTGATCTTCCGCCAAGGGGAGGGCACTTCTCTCCCCAACACCCCCCAGAGGAGGACCGAGCAGACATAGGTGCAGACATTCTCCACTGACCACAGAGTGGGCTCAGTCATGGAAACAACAGGGGCTCACCCACAGCTCTGGCTGCTTCCAGAAGGATGTGATGGGGGAGCAGGCCTGCTCAGTGAGAGCTGGCGGTCTCTATTATGAGCTCATGGCTCCGTGGGGCCAGCCCAGTCTGAGGAGCGACTCGCGTTTGCTGTCACTGGGTCCTCCTGTTTTACTCATCGGGAACCAAGGTCAGAGAGATGATGTGTTCTGGCAAAGGCTCTCACTGGGTCAGGGAGAGGAGAGAGGGAGGGAAGAGAGGACAGAGACAGAGACAGCAAGACAGGGAGCCCGGCTGGGTCTTCAGCCGCAGAGGCCCAGCTCTTTGAAACCTGACATGGGTTGACGAGATAGAGAGAACTCTGTCGTGATAGCCCCTGATGACCTATTTCCTTCAAGAACGTTCATCGAGCGTCTCCGCTGTGCCAGATGGACGGGCCTGAGAGCTGCTCCTGCCCCCAGAACCCCCAGGGCCTGGATAATTCTGCCCAGTGTTGTTAGCTTCTGCTTCAGAGCAATCCTGCTGGAAAGCTTCTCCCCCACCCCCACCCCATCCTTAAACACTGCCATCATCAGTCAGTCCTGCCAGGAGACACTCTGGGTCTCCCGGATCCTGTGCAGGCTCTGGGGCTTCCTGGAGGCGCCATGTTCTCCCCGCACACCCACAGCTCATGCTGCCCCTGCCTCCTCCTCCTCCTCCCCCTCCTCCTCCCCCGCTGGACTGGTCGGCTGCTTCCTTGAGAAGAGACGTCTTCACCCTGGGCAGCCTTCCGACCCCTCTGGACTGGGTCGTCCTGCCTCCAGCACGAGCAGGTGTGAGCCTCCTGGGGAATCGGTTGTACAGTGATTAATTCTTTTATCTCTCCGGCTGGAAGGCAAGCTCTGGGGGAACAAGGGTGGTGCTTGTCTTGTTCAGGTATCTCTTGGCAAACAGTCAAGTCTCATAAATATTGCTGAATGAATGAATGAGCAAATAAACCAGCCGATACTTGTACGTCAACAGTTGCACTCGTTTCTTTGAAATCAAAGGCTGCTGTATACCCAGCCACGAAAGTCTAGTCCCCCTTGCATCATCACCCAAGGTGGGTGGAGGCAGCGTGGCCTGGGGCTCACCCAGAGAGGGGGCTGCCCAGCCTCCGGAGTTGGCCAACCTGTCCCCCGTCATCCACACTGCTGAGTGGAGGGTCGGTGGAGGGGGTGAGCCTCTGTGCCGGGCGCCTCTTCCTAGGGAGAGGTGGGGAGAGGGCCATGCATTTCCAACATTTATTGTTACCTTCCACCCCACTACTGCCAAGTCCAAAGGGCAGACGGATGGGGCGTTGTCATGTTTTCCTGCTCAGGAGCTTTGGGCAGGGGATCCGCCTCCATATGGACCTTCCTGAGGGGTCATTCCGGTGATCCTCTGATAAAACGCATCTCTTCTGAGTGATAGGTTCCCCTTTGGGGAACATGGAGGAGCCATGGGTGTGATTCTGTCAGATGGGGGCGGCGGTGCCAAGCCATCCGTCAGATGTGAGCATGCCTGTGCTTACTCCCTGGTTCAGCTGTGAACCTTCAGAAGAGATAAGATAGGGTGAGCCCCAAGATGTATTTTGGTGAGAGAAGGAAGAGCAGGAGCTCATCCTGATGACACTGGCCTCAGAGAATGGCAGTCCCGGAGGCCCGGGCTCCATTCCCAACACCCCATCACGTTCTGTCCACATGCCTTCCACATTCCCTCCAGGGGCCCATTATTGACTTCTTTCTCTGTGATGGTCCTGGGTTTTTTTGCTTCTTGTCCCTGCATCCTGTCCATTGTCACATTTCTTCCATAGTTTTCATCTCATTGTAATTAAAAATGAGAATTTTAGTTATGAAAAGTTGCACTGAAGGAGTCCAGGAAGGGCTTGATGGCCTGTCCCCTTGGCTCTCCTAGCTTCTCCATGGTCTCATCTTAGGGCAAGAGACACATGGGCAGGGATTGCCTCTGTTTAGGGGCGATCACATCTGAAAGAGGAACCGCTACGCTCTTCACTCTTTTGCCGCACGTCCGTAGCTCAGTGGGGGGAACACTTCCCTTTCAAGGACACGCCGTGGTTAGGAAAGAAGCCACGCAGGAGTGCCTGAGTGGCTTAGTCAGTCAAGCGCAGGCTCTGGATTTTGGCTCAGGTCATGCTCTCGGGATTCTGAGATCGAGCTTTCCAGGAGCCCCGCGAAGCAGGACCATTCATTTAGATCAAATGACTGTTCATAGTGAATCCTGCTCATTATCAAGTCCAGGTCTCATTGTGCATTTACAGAAGGTGAGGTTCGTAGCTGTTAGTGCTCCCAATAGCAGATGAAGTTCACCAGCCATCCAACGATGCCAGCAGCAGATCGTGTCCTTTTCAAACAGCAATGTTTCCAACAGAAAATGAGATCATTCCAATAGTGGTTCTGCTGTTTTTCACCCATTTCACGGAATCCAGCTACAACTGGGAGGCTCCTTCCGTGAAAGGTGAGTGCCTGGCATGATTGCTAATGTCACTGGAAATGCAATGAAAGAATTCTGCACCGATGATGTAGTTATTTGTGCGATAGTATAAATATATACATGTTGGTGGAGCTCAGCATTTGTGGTAAATATATCACACGTAGAATGGATTGTGACCTACAGATAATTTTTAATTGTGCCCACACACCAACTAAATATTCCGTCAGTTAAAATAGAAGCTATGGATGTCAGATTTTACCAACACTTTCACATACTGAGTAACTGAACTACAAATTTATGTAATGAAGCTGATGTTGAGTTTTTAAAAATACTTCAGCTGGGGAGCATGCATGTTCTCTTCCCTGTTCGTCAGATTTCAGAAACGTTTGGGCCTTCAGAAAACTTGCTCCGTAAATCAACCTAAGTGTCCTACAAAGATGGTGGACTTTTCTGTAAACAAGGCCCTAAGTGTTTGCATTTTGTTCTAAATTAGTTGGAAATATTTCGTAAAAGTATTCAACAAACAGAGCAGCAAAAAATACAGCCACACACACAAAAATAGGAAGAAAAAACTCTCTGTGTTTTAAACTTTTATAGAGCTATGACTATTGAAAACATAGGTTGTGAACAGGAAGACATTAAAATCTTTTCCTATGAAAGCAAGGAAGGAATAAAGCAAATGAAATGATGAGAGCTCACAAGATGCTCATTTGGAAAACTCTGAAGATGATTTTGTGAAAATTTTTAAATATTAAAGATATTGAAAAATATATTAAAAGTGAAACGTATTAACAATAGACAAGGCTAAGATATTGGTTGAAGCAGGTGACTATGGACTGGGGATAGGTATTCTGCTCATGTTCTCATTTTATTTTCATATAATCAATTTAAAAAGGGTTTTTTATTAAAAAGTATTGCTGTAATGTGCACTGGTAGTTTTGTTTTCTAGGGAGTTTTTTTTTTAATTTTTAAAAATAGTTTTCAAATAAAACTACTTAGTGGGTTCCCATTTTAGTAAAACCAAATGCTGACCAATAATGAAGTACTGTAGGAAAGCATATGACTTGAACTGTTTCAGCCTCTCGTTTGCACTCAAGAGTCCTGTTTTGGATAAGAAATTACACATGGCCCATCCCGGCGGCTCTCTTCAAAGCTGGAGCGAATCTTTCTCTCTGCTCCTTTGTGGAGGAGCTGAGTCTGTTCTGTAATTGAGAGCAGAAGAACCAGGCTTTCAACCACACATGATGGATTTGACCTGCAGGGGGCAGTCTGGTGCAATCTGCTCAGGGACGCCCAGCGCGCCTTTCCATCCCTTGGGACAGGAGGGGTCAGCAGGGCGGCCCCTCCTCAAAGGCACTGGCTCAGGATCGGCCTCCTTCAGCTTGGCACCACCACCTCACCTCTGCCCCTCTGCACACCCCCAGAGTGAACTCACCCACATGCTGAACCTTCAGCACCCACTGCTGTCCAGCCAGTCCCTAGGCCCTGAACACAATTCCTGTCGGCACTCTCCACTAGAATGCTCCAGAACCTTGAGCGGCAACGGGCCGTCTCCGAGGATAGCAGGACATTTCTCATAGGATTGCCGTGAGGGATGGGGAGGTAGCTTACCTCAGAGCCTCAGACGGCTTATCACACTTCATAAGAGTTCAATAAATGGGAGCTTATAGTATTGTTTTATACCAAGCCCAAATCATCTTTATCCCCAGACTGGGGACCCCATTCTCCCGAGGTCAGGCAATGAATGATGCCCCGTCCCACTCCATCTCCCAAGATGGAAACCCCAGTACCTTCGATGGCCCACTCCTCGCCACATCCAGCTGAATACCACTCACACGGATTGTGCCTCTGAAACCCCTTTCAAATCCCTCCCTCCTTGCCCTTCCCGTTGTCCTGGCTTAGTCTAGACATCCTCTGCTGCGGAGGCCAGCGTGTGTCAAATTTTATGTGCACGGGAAGCACGTAGCATTCTTGTGAAAATGTGGGATGTCCGGTGGTACCTGAGACGCAGCATCCCTAGCAAGCTCCCAGGGGATGGATGGCCATGCCCCCAACCACTCTGGGGCGGCACAGGCGGACGCTGTGTCTCTTGTGGCTCCCGACCGGCTTCTAGCACTCCCTCTGGAAACTTCAGTGGCAGCTCGTTGCTCACAGCCAAGGTCGTCAGCTGCGGTCTGTACAGGACCCGTCACTCCCCCTGTATTTGGATGTCATGCATCTGTTGTTGGGCCCAGGAATTGGCATCTTTTCATCATGCCCTCAAGTGGTTCCAATAAGATAGGTTGTTGATGGAAAAAGAGACTGTAACACCAAACTAAACTCCTGAACACGACATTCAAGGGCCTTCTGGATGCGGTCCCGGGTGGGGCGAATCATCGCTTTGTCACCCTCCTTGCTTGGCACTGTGACCACACATCTCCAGAACAGTGGGGTCGCAGGGGTGGGGGGGCTGGCGCTGTTTATCTGCACGTCCTTTCAGCTCCACGAAGCTGCATTAGGGCAGGACCGGACCAGCTCCAGGACCTGGCTTGCCCAACAAAGAGTATTAAAAAGGCATCAGATGGAGCAAAAAGGCGATTCTAATCAAACTGATAGCTGGCTGACTTTCGATAGGAGTATAAATAAAGGCTGCTTTGTTGGAAACTATTTTGATAATCTCGGTTCTGGGATCCAACATGTTTTATGCCCACAGTACTTAACATTTGGTATATTCAATACAAATCCTTAAAATTCACTGTGGATTTAGCTACTGTTTCAGGCATTATTTTTGTGCAGATTCATGTCTGTGCTTATTGGTAGCTTGCACAAATCCTTTGATGGTGAGTAGCCAGGGACAGGAGAGTTGTCATGGTCCTGGAAATATAAATGGGGCAATCAAAGGACTCACGGGGTTTGAATTCTGCAAGGTTTAGTGCCCTCTTCTGGTCATGGCGGGCAAATCACCTGCCGCTCCAGGGGACGCTGCCGACCCACCCCATGGTGTCTGATGTGTGATGAGATGGCCTTTGGCTCAGAAGTGTCCGCTTTCTCTTAGATGATTGAACATTTGGTGAGGAAGGCTTTGAATGAATGCATATAACAAGAAAAAATGCTTCAACTAGGAAGTCTGCATCTCTGAGTTGTATTAAACTAGTGGATACTTTCTAATCAATTACTTTGAAGCTTATTCAATTATGTAAAAGCTTTGTTCAAGAACAGATTCTGTTTAATGCAGGCTGTGCAGAGCTGCCCATCAGGGCTTGAGGGCTTTTGTCTCTGGCAGTCCTGGGTTCGAATTGTGACTCCTCCGTCTCATCTGACCCGACGTTGGGTCAGTTCCTCATCCTCATGGGGCCTCAGTTTCTCAGTCCTGGAGGGTTATTGTGAGGGCAGTTTCCATACGAAGGGCCTAGCGATGGTAGGTGCTCCCGGGACACAAGCTAGTGTGTGTGTGTGTGTGTGGGGGGGTGCTCATTTAAAAGTCTAAAATATATCTGGGAAAGAAACAAGAGGAAAGGGGTGAAAGTATTGATTGTGGCTGTCATCGTTGTCCCGGGATAATTGCAGGCTCAGAATGGTTCCATTTCAGCAGTGGTGATTGCTGAAACACCATGAGGATTTTTTGCACTCATTCAGATGTCTTCTCTAATTACCAGGGACCAGTGTTTCTGGGCCTCGGCCCATTCAGATGGCTCAGCGAGGCTTTTTGCAGGAAAGTGCTTTGTGAGCGGACAGGCACCCAGGCTGACCATGGAGCAGGGAATGCAGGAGGGAGGGAGCCCACACCTCAACCACACGCATCCTCACCGCCGGATCTCACTCGGCTCCTATAGCCACCCACTTTCTCCGGCGGCCAGTCCTCCTCTACACCACCAAGAGTTCAATGCCACATTTTCCGAGGATCTAAGGTTATTTTGGCAAAATGGTGCACCAAGTGGGGATCTGAGGTAGGCCTTACAAGTCTGGGTGAAAGAGCCTTTTCCTGTGTTGAACCGCATTGCATTCACCCACCCACCCAATAAAGACTTACCTCTGTCCCCAGGGGGCCCACGTGACTCCGTCAGAAAGGAGCTGATGGCGGCCCCTCCTGGGGGAAGAGGGAGCTTCCCTCTGCCTCACCTGCGGGCTGAGACAGGAGGCAAGGCCATCCCCCTGCAGCCATGCATGACGTTTAGGAGAGCAACAGGCGAAGTCCGTGGCTCAGAGGATCACTGACCAGGCTGGTCTGCCCATCCCATTCTCACTGTTAACGTCTCAGGCCTGGGGGGGACGGGCTGGCCTTTGAAGGGTCCCTCAGGCTCCAGAGTATGGGAAAGGCCTGCACTCAGAATAAGGGCCGGTGGTATGGGTTGTGGTTGTGGCCAGGGGGACAGCAGAGGTGGACCCTGTGCAGGTGGGCCGGACCCCCCACTTCCCAGCCTCCCCCCCGGCCCTGTGACCACCTGCCAGTTAACCTAACTCCTGAGCCTGCAATTCTTCCCAAGGGGGGTGCTCTTCTCTGGGCTGTCATGATGCAAAATAGAAATGCTACACCCATGTCACAGCAGACACCATAGAATGTACCCAAAATGTTGAACAAATCATGACTGTGTGGCAGTCTGGAAGCTGTGGGTAAGGGGCCTCTCAGGAAGCTGCCTCTCAGAATCTTTGATCTCCTGGTATTTTCAGACTTTACCCTCCCCGGACACCCCCACATCCTTGTTCACCTCCTCTCTCCCTACAAAACCAGACAAACAAACAAGAAAGGAAATTAGGGATGCCCGGGTGGCTCAGTCGGTGGAGTGTCTGCCTTCGGCTCAGGTCATGACCCCAGGGTGCTGGGATTTAGCCCCACATCGGGCTCCCTGCTCTGCGGAGAGCCTGCTTCTCTCTCTCCTTCTGCTGCTCCCCCTGCTTGTGCTCTGTCTCTCTCTCTGAATATAAATAAGTGGATAAGTAAACTCTAAAAAAAAAAAAGACAGGAAATTAACCTGAACAGCAAGAGCTTTCATAACCTGGGAATAGCTCTTGGAGTTCCCAGGGTGAGATTACTTCCCAAGTGCAGGAATATAATGCGCCGGCGGTGGTCCGCAGAGCCGCCTCCCTGACCCAGACTGATGAAGCAGCGCTCCAAAGCATGCCCTCCGCCATCCGGTCCCCAGTCCGCCCTGTCCTCTGGGAGCGGCCCTTCTTAGTGGAGGGCCCGGCCGCCCGAGGCGCATGGCGGGGAGCCCTCTGAGCCTGTCCCCGCGTCTTGCAGGTTCGCCATGGAGCCCTTCTGTCCGCTCCTGCTGGCGGGTGTTAGCTTGCCGCTCGCCAAGGCCCTCAAGGGCAACGAGACCACCCCGGCGGTCAGCAACTGGAACTCGACGACCTCAGGTGAGGACCCGGCTGCCTGCCCCGCCCCTGCCCTTGCCACCCGCCCCTCCAGGCAGGCTCTCAGGACTGGGATGACAGGGCTGGGGGACGAGACGCAGCCTGTGGCTGACTTCCTCAGCGAGCGGAGCACCTAACACGTCACCCCTATCAACACCAGCTGCCCAGACAAGCCAGTCATTGGGAGTTGGAGCAGAACAAAGCTTAGCAAATGGAGGGCAGCAAACACGACCCTGTGCTGAGAGTTGTTGTCAGCTTCGGTGGGAGGCAGGAGAGCAGGGGTTAATAATCCTGCCCCCCACTCCTGGGGAGCTGATTGAAACAACCCTGAAGGAACACTGATGAGTCCCTAAGGGGTTATTTACACACTGACATGAACGTTGATGCGATCAAGAAGTTAGTGTTAATATTTTAGGTTCTTAGGCAAGATATTGGCGTAGTGGTTAGAGTTATACTTTTAAAAGAGGAGCCCTTACTTTTTAGAGAGGCATGTTGATGTCCTTATGAGTGAAACAGCATGAGGTCTAGGGGTGACTTGAGAAAGAAAAGTGGGGAGCAGGGGGTGGGGGGACCATAGACCAACACAGCTTTCTTGTCCTGATTAGAAAGGTGGGTGGTGGACGACATGTGGGGCTCGTTGCTCTGTTCTCCTGCCTTTTCCATATTTTGAAAGTTAGGGATAGGAGAGAGTGAACAGACACAGGGGACAACATGGGCGAACCCCAGAAACCTGCTACGTGGAAGAAGCTGGACACACAAGACCCCGTGTTCTCTGGCTCCACTGATGGGAAATGCCCGGGGTAGACAAGCTGTTGGAAGGGAAGGGGCAGGAACGCTGGGCCGGGCACGGGCGGCAAACGCCAGGCGGCCACAGGTGGCTGAGAGGTGGGTGGGAGTGTTCCGAAACGCTGTGGGGGCACAACTCTGTGAATTAGCTAAAAATCACCGAATCATAGGCTTGAAACAGGTGAGTTTGTAGTATGTAAATTTTACGTCAGTGAAATAAATGCCACGCAAAGCCAAGAGGACAAGCAACAGCGGTGAGAGCAGATGCTCTGGAGTCACGCGGCCCGTGTTCAGTTCTCGCGCCGCCGCTTATTGGCCCGGTGAGCCGGAGTAAGTTTCTGAACCTCTTTGTGCCTCAGTGTCCCCATCTGTGCGGCGGAGGTAGTAATAGTGCCTAGTACTCAGCAATGCTGTGAGGATTAAGGAGACAGCCGAGCTGGGGTGCGGGAGCTCGTCCACTGGGCTGCTGCTGGGGTTGGCAGGAGCCCGGGTCCGAGGAGGCCCGTCCCCAGCCAGTCTCTGAGGGCCCAGACAGTTGGCTCTTCAGTGTCCCTTGATATCTCCTCCTAGGGTGTGTGCCCAACACAGACAGAGGCCCACCTGGTG